GATAATAATCATTTTATCCTTACATATCTTAGTTGAATAATTTTAAATTGAGGGTTTTTTATAATGATATTATAAAAATAATAAATATTGTTTTATGTTTTTATTTTTATTTTTTCAACTAAATACATTTCTATTTTTACTATCTTTGTCCTGTTATCTAGATATTCTTTGTCTTCATTAATTAACAAACCTATAAAAGATATGTGTTTTTTCCTGCGACTTTACTAGTAAGATTATTAAAAGATTTGGTGTTTTTTCCGAACTACTTCGTTGTTTATATGAACAATGAAGAAATTGTCCTCTCTTTTTCTTTCTTTTTTCTTTTTTTTGTTTAATTTTAATCTTAATTTCCCCCCTTTTTGATTTAGTCATTTTTTGACCTAATTCCATCAATTAAAGTTTAAAATTATTGTAAAAAGACATAATTAAAAGTAAAATGACCATATTGTAAAACACAAAAAAATTTAGTAGTGAATCTCAAAGATATTTATTTTAAAAAAGTTTTTAAAATATTTATTTTGATTCAAGATTTTGTTTTATTCATTTTACAATCTATATGCTTGAGAGATCAGAAAAACTCATCGAATAATGATGAAAGAAAAATAAAATTATTAATTTGTTATGTTTTAACAATAAGAATAACAATTTTAACATCAAAGGATTTCATTGGATGCGAGAAGTTTGATGATAATAATTGTTTCATATAAACATGTTTAAAAAAGTAAATTGAGATATGTTTATATTTTTTAATTTAACTTATTTTCATTATTTTTAGTGTTTTTAGGGTATTTTGAGTTTAGCAAGTGGTATAAAAGGTTTTATGATATTTTTGAGTTGTTAGTAGGTAAAAATAGGTGAAGTTTGGATTTTCAGGTCAAGTTCCCTCAGATTTTCTAATCATTGTTATGGTGATAAACAACCTAAGAGACAACAAGCTGATTGCAACTACAAATGACTTGTTTTTATATTTAAAAAAATAATAAAAAAAAAACAAAGTGAATATAGTTCGCTATCGAGGAAATCAAACCAAGCACATGCTTGAAAAAAAATTTTATTTGGTTTTTTAAGACTAGTCACATTATTCTAGTTTATCAGCGACTAGCTTTTTTATTTTTTTAAAAAAATAAATTAATATCCTCTATATTTTCATGTATTTTTTATTTAAATTTCAATTAATTCCCTCGTATTTTTTATTTAAATTTCAATTAATTCCAGGGTCTCTTTTATTTTTAATTTTTTTAGTGAGACTTTTTTAATTTAGTTTTTTTTAATATTTTTTATTTTTATAATTTTTGAAAAGAGTATTATAATTTATCTTTAATTATATATATATATATAATTTATTTGCTTAATGTATTTATAGAAATAAAATTATTTATTCCTGGAAAGAAAAAATAACCTCCAAAATAAAAACATAAAAAATGCATAAATTAAAATTAGCGTTAACAATTCTTTCATAATTTATCAATTTCTAATATTTGCACATTCTGAAATTATACAGGGTGATAAAACTAGTTACCCTTAAAATGACCGGCCCGGCCACTAACATACATGCGCTCCGTTTCAAAAGAAAACAAATTAATATAAATTTATGTGCTAATTAATGAAGTACACATGCTTCCGTATCATAATTATTAATTAATCTTGTATGATTATTATTAATTAATCTCTTACATTGGCTGGTACCGAGGTCGTAAAAAGAAACAAGTTAATTCTTAAAATCTATTATTAGTCTTAAAATTTTATAATTTTATGAGTTAATATATATTTAATATGTTAAATCAGATTAAATCTAGAAAATTAATAAAATTAGTTAAACTTAATAAAATCAGATTAATTTTATAAATTTTAAAAAATATAAAATTATGTATTCTGATAATTTATACCTTAATATTTTTATTATTTTAAATTTATATCTTATAAAACTTGTGTAATTTAATAATCAATGACTTAATTTTGACTATAATTATTATAATTTTTTTAACAATACAAGTTTTTTATGGATTTTATTTTCATAAAATTAAAATACATATTTATTCTTTATAATTTCTTATGTAAACTATGAATAATTAATTGATATATTATTTTATTTTAGTTGGGAAATATATAGAATAAAAATAAAATAAAAATTATAAATTAACATGCTTGACTCTCGTAGTTTATCAAAATTTAAAAGAATTTATTTCTTATAAATAACGAAGTAAATAGATCGATTTATTTAAAAAATAGAAGAATCAATGTAAATAAAATAAAAGTATTTGAACTTTTTTATTATTTATTTTAATTGAGTTATATTGTTAATTTTTATTTGATTGAAATTATTAACATATAATTAATTAAAATTTTTATTATAATTTTATAGTTTTACCATTTGAATTTACAATTTGAGTATATATTGTATATTTTGTGCCATGTTAAAATATATATATATATATATATATAAGTGGTTGTACGTGCAACTTAATTAATTAATATCTCACCAGCATATAGTCAAAACAGGCCTGGATTTGTTGCCTTTTCAAAACCAGCGACCCTTGACCCGTTAAATATTAATATCGTAAATATTAGCCCTGACATATAATAAGATTACCAGTTCAAAGATAGCAGCACGACTTTTTTTGTTCTTATTGTCGCATAAATTTTGGGTTGGTTGTTTCAACTCATGGCTATTAATCTTCCATAACCCTCTAAGAGGTTGATTCACGTGATAATAAAAATAAAATAAAATTCATTGAGGGATCGAATTTTATTACTGATTTTCTGAAGAATTAACGTATTTATATATGACTAGTCTTGCTCCCAAATATATTATAAACAAATATATATATTATACACATCTCCGTCCAGAAAAGCGACTGATTCCAGAGACGACGAGGAATTTATGGTTGATGTACACTTTGTTCAAAAATTTCTCCACTCTTAAGCTAAATAAAGAGATAAAATATTTTTTTTCAAGAGAAAAATCATTTTTCAATATCTATCAAAAGAGTTAAGAGCATTAAAATATATTATTTAAAGATTCATTCTTTTATCTCTACAACTTTTCTCAGTGTTTTTATTTAAAAAAATAAAAAATATTAATGTTAAATATATTAGAATACAAATGGGTTTTGAAAATATTTTTTTTATTGGAGTATACATAAGAAAATAAATTTTATTTTCACCATTTAAAAGATTATATTAATAATTTGACTCTTCTAAATAGCTTTATTATTAGAGATATTCTTACATGATTTTATATTTCTAAAAGCAAAATAATTATTATTTAACAGTTTTTAGGTTTTTTAGTGCAAAAAGCAAAAAAAAAAAAGAAAAGTAATTTTTATTTTTGCAATTAAGGTTCAATTGGGAGTATACTTCAGTGTGGTTGAAAATATGTTTGTCCCAACTAAAATTTTAAAAATATTTGATTAATTAAAATACAATATTTTTGCACGAATCTCACTTGAAATTCTTCTTGAAACAACAATAATAAAAAAACATAATTTATAACTTTTTTTAATTTTTTTTTAAAATAAATAATTATTTAAAGACCATTTATTTAAGCGGTTGCAGCAAACCGCATAAACAATTCATTTAGTAACATTAAAATGCAAATTATTAAAGCATGTTAAAACAGCTGTTTCATGAGAAGCAACTATCACGCGACTGCATCTATATGAGGTGATAATTGTATTCACCTTTTGAAGTAAACATGTCTAGATCAATTAATTCACCTGATACTATTCACCTCAAAAAGTGAATACTGCAGGTGCAGGTGAATCTCATTTGACATTGTTTACCTGAATAGTATCTTGATTGTTTTTTCGACTGTGTCCGATCCCATAATTTTTTTTAATTATATTTTATTAAAAAAATTAGTATTTAATATTATTTAATAATATTATATAAATTAGAAAAATATTGTATAATGACGTAGTATTTGTAAAATTTGATCGCAATTTCAATTTTATTTCTGATAATATTTTATCTGATTTTATTGCAAGCTCAAAATATCATGAAAATTGTAATTCTTATCAAATGAATTTCATACATGATGAAATTGTAAATAAGTTAATGTAATAATAAGAAATATTTGATATAAAGTATTATTTTTAACTAAACATATTAAATTACTTTTTATTCAACCTCAATTTTAATTAAAATTTTAATCAAATATATATAAATATCAAACCAATCTCAATTAAAAGTATTTTTTATAAATTAATTTTTTTAAAACCACAATCACAAAAGCTAACACAATATCAAACACAATCACTTTTTAAACTTTCTCATGTTTGTTTGTTATTAGAAAAGTTAGTTAATAGAAAAATTTTTCAGTTAAAGAAAAGTTATTAAATATTATAATAGAGTTTGGAAACACGGTTTAAATCATATTTTTTTAAATATTTTATTTTTTATATTATTTTGAAACAATAATATTAAAAAAATTAATTTTTTTTATTTTTAAATATTTTTAAATTAAAAATACTTTAAATTGTAATCGTTATAATATTTATTTTTAAATTAAAAATATTTTAAATTGTAATCGTTATGATATACTCAAATACCTCAAATAATATTATATAAGTATATTTTTTCACACATATAATGCTACTGGTGTATCTTTTTGTATAATCATAACTAATATTTTACTTATAATTAGAATGATTAATTTCTGGAAAACTATCGACCCTTTGTTTGTTTGGAAAGAAACCCCAAGGAATTAGAAATTAATCTAGAACTTTCATGCATGCTATCCATAACTTAACCATTTTTTTTTTATTTATCAACTTTTTTTTTTCTTCTTATTTATCAATCCTCATGCTCATGAGTTGGAATCTTTGTTTTAAACTTTTAAAAACCACATATAATATTTGGAAGAAATTATTAAGTATATTACCAATAATCTTTGCGTTTGTACTTTTAATCTCAAGTAATCTCTTACGTATCGCTTACGCCACCTAACGTGGGATAAAGAAACTGGGGGCTAAGGTTAAGTACGCCGCCTTATTAATCCAACCTTTATGTATACCTAGCCAAATAGCTCCTACGCATTCAGCTCCTTCTACACGTTATTTCTTCCATCTTCATCTTCAACAACCACACCGGCTTCCTCCATGTCTTTGAACATGGTGCCCAGTTCTTATGGTTCTACTGACTTGGAAGGCGCCAAGGGAAATGGATTTTTGGGATTGATGCAAGAGATGGAAGCTCCTGCAGCCAGTTTAAATGTCGACAACATCTCTCAAAACAGAGCCTTTGTTGGGTCTGTAAGTGAAGGGAGAGTGGAGAAGAAAAGGGGAGAAAAGAAGATAAGAAAGCCTAAGTATGCTTTTCAAACAAGGAGCCAGGTTGATATACTTGATGATGGCTATAGATGGAGAAAGTATGGTCAAAAGGCAGTGAAGAACAACAAATTTCCCAGGTAACTAAGTACTATATATACTCCTTAATATTTTTTCTCTTTTCTTTTTTTATAACTAACGATACTCTTTAATTTGCTTCAATACAACATATTTAAAGTATTCAACATATATAATTGTTTTTTATAAAATCCTCACATGTATAATTAAGACAACAAATTCAGTATTTTATATGGCAGTGAAAAAAATCGTGTTTGGTTATAAGAGTTTCCGAATCCGAGAAAATTAAGGATGACTATACCAAAATTTTCTTTTGGCTCATGCTCAAACATCGAACTTTTGGCAACATTTATTTATTAAAAAGTAATCACTTATAATTTTTTTTTAATTTTTTATATTTATTTTTTATTAAAAAATTAATTAATAAAAAATATTTTTTTATTAATTTTTTTAGTTTGATTTATAAAAAATATTTTATTTTTCTTTTAAATAAAAAATATTTTATTATCCATTAATTATCTCAAACTTACTTATAAATTTTTTAATTAATTTTTTAAATTTTATTTTGTTAATATTTGTTTAAATTTTATTTTTATATTAATTTTAATTATTATTTTTTTAATTAAATTTTTTATATTTATTAAATTTGATCATATTTTTTTATAATTTATATTATTTAAAATAATTTATAAAATATATTTTTTTAAAAATTTCCTTATCTTTCAAGTTTTTATCTGTTAAATTTAGTTTTTATTATTATTAATTTATTTTAAAATAATTTATAAAATTATATTTTTTTCAATTTTATTTTCCATGAAATTTTTTATCTGTAAAATATGATTATCATTCTTTTAATAAATTTTAAAAAATTAAAATAATTTATTTTTAGTTTATTTTTTTAACATTACCAAACATTAAAAAATATTTTACGATTTATTTTTGTAATCTTATCAAATATTAAAAATTATTTATTTTTTATAAAAATTATTTTTTAAATAAAATTATTTTTATTAAACAAACAAGCAAGATTATAATTTATTCAATTAAATTTTAGCTACAAGCTATTTAATTTAGAAGAATTGAATTCTCTTATTATTTTTATTAATGAGATTGTTTATTTCTATTCATGAGATTGGAATGATTTTCATACTTCAAATCCTGTCTTCAAAGCATTTATATATAAATATATTAATAAAAACTCTAAAATAAGTGTTTTATAACAATAATTTACAATAGTTTTTTATATATAATTTAATTTTTTTTTTAATTTCTTTATTTTATATGTAAATTCATTACCAATTTATCAAAAATGTTAAAAAGGATTATAATTAAAATAAAAAGAATTAAAATGCAAAACAATAAAGATATATTTTCACTTTAGTTTTATATTAGAAATTATGATTTTTTGATCTTTATACATCAAAATTTTTTAAAATTTTATTTACATTAGCATTTATTTTTCAATTTATTAGTTCATATATTTTATAAATGCATAAATATTGTATTTTCATTTCTTAGTTAAGAGAATAATGTTACAGGAAAATAGCAAGTATTAATCTAAAGTGCGCGAGTGTAGAATTATGGAGGAAGAAGGATATAAATAAAAACACGGAATTTTCTGATTGGATCTGTTACAGTATTATAGAAAATATTAAGGGCCACTATTTCTTTAGTATATATGTACTGAGCTAGTCTCAGCAATGATTTTCTGTCTAAATGTCGGTCAATGCAGTTTAGCACAATTATTCATGTACTGAGCTAGTCTCACCAAAGCATGCTCCAGCGGCCCGCCCGCCCGCCAGCTTATGGCAGCCTAAAATAGCCTTCTTTAGTGTTGTTTGATTATTCATCGCGGGCCCTACCTTCCTATTGTGGTATTAGGCCCTCCAGTTTAATGTCAGTTTGCTTCGTTCCTTTCTTTTATCTCTCATTGAATTTCAGGTCATCCATACTTCTGGGGTAAGGATCCTATTGGTAATGAGCCCAAGGAATCATCACAAAGAGCATTCGCTGAAGGTCTGTGGCGTCTGTCATGCCCTACATCAAATGGGTGCGATGACCTTTTACTTAATCCACTTGTCGATCCAAACTTGGCTCGGCTGGAGTGCTCCAAGGTGCTTGTTGCTGTCGCTGAAAAGGATCTGCTGAGAGATAGGGGGTGGCGCTACTATGAAAAGTTGAGGGAGAATGAATGGAGTGGAGAAGTGGAGATCATGGAGGCCAAAGGAGAGAATCATGTGTTCCATCTTCTCTCTCCTCCTGGGGAGAACGCTAGGCTCATGCTTGAAAAAATCTCTTCTTTCCTGAATCAGGACAAGGCCTAGGATCTGGGGAGAGTTTCTGTCAGGTTTTTGTTTTTTAATTGAAGGCTATCATATTTTATCATCTATTTGTTAGTTTTTGCATATTGAGATTCAGTCTCTCTACAATTGCATCTTTTTTTTTTTTTTTTTTTCAACTCATTTTTTTTTATCAATTTTATTATTCAACATTTATTATTTTATTTGTTTTCTATACAATTCTTTATTTTTTCATTAATTTTGTCCTTAAATGTTTGATTTTTATATGTTAAATTTAGCCTTTTTTCTTTTAATTGAATGTTTTTTTAGTTCATTCTCAGTCTTTAATATTTGGTTAAATAAAATTAAGCTTTTTTTTTTGTTTTGATTTAGATTTTATTGGGTTATCAAGGTTTCATGTTACTGTTTTAAATATTTTTTATTTAAAATATATCATCCAATATATTACCATCTTAAAATTTTAAAAGTATTTCAGTTTAATATGCATAGAATGTTTTACTTCTTAACATTTTTAGAATTGTTTTTAATGTTATAAAAAAATAATCTAACATGCAGCATAATATATAAAAAAATCTAGTGTTTATATATATATAGAAAATAAATTGAGATGGTATGATTGATCAATTTGGTGTGAGTGTGTTGCCCTTTTCTACAATTCCGTCTAGCTATTTTCAATACTGGACAATGTCTCATTATTTTTAATATATTCATGTACCTATTAAAAATTGTTTTATTTTAATATTAAGTACTAATTAAATTGTAATTACTATTTAGTTCTGTATCATAATCTTAATTGTGCAAAATTTTGGATGGAGATTGACCTTTTCTTTCTGTGGTTTTGTCATTTCAGTCGAGGCGAATTCATATAGCAGAGGGTGAAATAGAAATTGGAAGCTGTAAAATTAGGAAACGTTAGATTGCACATATGACTAATAATTATATATTATAAATAAATGAGAAAATGAGAGATGGTTATAAATTGGATGCATGAGCCAATAGTTTAAGTTTTTAGTTTAAGTTTTTAAATTGAAGATGATATCTATCTGTGTGTAAGCAAGCTCTTGTGTGCATGGATAATGCAAATGTCATACATTCTCTTGAACACAAACAACTCTTTGAGACGAGTGATGATTATGGTTAGATAGCTAAAAGAGGATTTGTGTTTGAATGGATCATACTTACATACGAGGGGGAGATATTTGTTAGGTAGGTATGAGTGGCAACTATCCCATTGAAAAAAAGAGGTGTGTGTGTGGTAGATAGATCCTTCACTTAATAATCTAAACTTTCGTATTAGAGATGGTGTTCATCTCTTGTGCGCAAGTCTACTATGATCCAAGAAAAAATCCCAAATATTGTTCCAAAAACTCTGATTATCACACGACCTGGAGAGCCAGAAACTATCAATACTTGGAAATTGTTGGCAGGGACAGAAGGTATTATGACTCCTCTCCTTCTTTCTCATCGGTTTCGCAGTTTCTCTTTTGATGTTTCTCGTGATCCAAGCTCAATACCTAACAGTCCCAAAATGAATATGCATCAGAATGGCACATTGTCTCATCGGTGGCTTCAAGTTGCTGATGAGGATGCTAATTCCAAGTGTCCGGGACTCGATCCTGTAGTAGAGGAAAAATATTGTTCGCAAGGTCCACTAGTGCTCCTTCAACATCTTTTCAATAGTTACGTGTCGAATATTAATTTTTAATGCAATTTAGTGAATTGTTAGCACGTAAACGTTATCTTCCTCGCTTTACTTGCCTCGGTTGAAGTAGCCAACGATAGGAAAATAATTCGTATTCTGTGACCACGATATGCTTTGGAATATATAGTGAATATATAATTTGGATGATGGATTCATGAAAGATTTTAATTACAATGAAGAATTATTTATTAATTAATAGGTAGGCTTCCTTGAGGTGGAAGAACTTGGACGACCCAGTATTATATATGAAAGAAAATCACTGCATGATCCCCTTGACTTGGAAATATCTAAATTAGTCATGTTTTGTTAAATTAACATATCTTAATTGACCTTAATCATAGAGTTTATGTAACTAATTATTTCTTTGTTTTCTGTCTGCAGAAGCTACTATCGGTGCACACATCAAGGGTGTAATGTGAAAAAGCAAGTTCAAAGATTAACTAAAGATGAAGGAATCGTGGTGACAACCTATGAAGGAACGCATTCTCATCAGATTGAAAAGTCTACAGATAACTTTGAGCATATCTTGAGGCAGATGCAAATCTACTCCTGATATCCTTGTAACTAAGTCCCTACATTAAGTTAGATTGAAGAAATTATAGCAGTTTAATCGCTTAGACTTGTAAATTATGTTAGTATTGGTTATTATCTCTAGATATAAAAGGTAGTAACAATGAAAATACAAAAGATAAAACAGAAAAAGAGATGGAGATACACTCGTCTTTGGTAATAGTGTATAAAATAAAATGATAGTTTCTATATTCTATTTGGTTATATGATAAACAAAACATAAAAAAATTTATTTTACTTCTAATATATATTATTGTTAAATTTATATATTTTTAAAAATAATTAGATATTATTTTTCTTACTTTACTTCATATTGAGTTTTAAAATTAAAAATATTATAGAACCAAAATTTATTTGATAGGTTAACTTGAAATTAGGTCAACTCTACACTTGAGATGACTCGAGTTTAAGAAAAAATAAAAAAAAAATTAACTTGACCTGATTCAATAAAATAACCAAGTTAATTCAGGATTAAATCCGGGTCAAATACTTGTTGATTTTTATTTATATATAAAAAATAGATTAAATTATTAAGGTTACTTTGATTATTTTAAATTTTTTTTTGAGTTAAACAGGTTAACCTTTTTTATTTATAACCTAAACGTTGCCTCATATTGACTTTCGAGTTGAGTTTTAAAACTATGATAATAATAAATTTTTATTCTTATATTGACATTCTCGATCTATGATCTAAGCCTTGTTTTAGATTAATTATCGAATCAAGTTTTAAAACTATTAAAATAATAATTTTTATTTTTATGTTGATTCAAATCAGCTCATGTTGACCCTCTTAACACATTTCTTAGTCTGTATCATAGGTTAACTTCCGAGTCAAGTTTTAAAACCGTGATAATTATTATTTTTATTTATATATTAACTTGGGTCAATAGTCGACCCCACTTGTTACTCGGGGCTTGTCTCGAGTCAACTCTTGAATCGGGTTTTACAGCCTTAATAATAATAACAACAATTTTTATTTTTACACTGACTCAAGTCAATTTAGGTCCGTTTGACCTGTGACTTAGGCTTTACACCAGATCGATCTGTTATTTGGATTTTAAAATTATTTTTACATGTATTAATTTAATAACTTTTAATTTGGAAGCTTTTTACAATGATATGTTATAAATAATAAATATTATCTTTGGAGACAAGTTCTCTTTGCATTTGCTGTTTTAAAAATACATAAAATTATTTTTAAATTATTTCATAAATATATTTATTTTTATATTCCTATCTTTTCAACTAAATATTTTTTTTTTATCCTTCTTATCTTTATATTTTTTGTTTTAGAATAATAACCAACCGCTATGTAATTATAATCTCCATGTATGTTCGTTTACAAGGTAAAAATTAAACCTCAATATAAAAGTTGCTATATGTACACTTTTAAATTATTTTTTTTAAAATGTCTTGGTAAACTATATTAAAATTAAAAATAAAATTTTAAAATGAAATAATATTATTTGATATATTTTCAAATAAAAAATAATTTAAAGTTCAAATACTATATAAATACAATAAAACGATTCGATGTAAAAAGAAAAAAAGAAAAAAGGAGTCAATCTATATATATACACTATAAAGCTATATTTAATAGTTATTTGACCAAACTAAACCCCACTCGTGACACATATCAACACAAAGTAAGGCATTTAACGACAGATTGATAGATATTGATCAGTACGCCACCGTGTTTTTCTTACAGTGAAGATTATAGATTGTACAAAGCAATCTGGAGAGAAAATTAGACTGCCATGCCATCTGGAGCTCCCTTCATTCCAAAACAAAGTGCAAGCACGCGCGCTCGCCATGAAATTCGAAGAAGCATAGCATAAGGAATTTTTTTTTATTAACATAAATATTTAGATTAGTTTGTTTAATTTTATGTATTTTGAAATTAATAATTATGTAAATTTTATATAATTTTAAAATTTATAAAAATTGTTAATCTTTAAAAAATATATTTAAAATCTAATTACTTAAATTATATTTTTATATTAAAAAAATATTTTTTATTAGCCTAATCGAGTTCAGACTCTTGAGTTTTTGATTTGTCTACATGTGTTGAGGATCTGCATCCAAACAGCACAAACAAACATGGTCACGGTGAAAGGATTTTGATGTATTTGAAAATATAATCGTGATTATTTTTAAAATGTTTTTTATATTAAAATAATATTTTTTTTATTTTTTAAAAATTATATTTAAAATTAACCCATTAAAATAATCCAAAACATATAAAAAATTAATTTTTAACTTAAAAAAATAAAACGCAGCCTTATGATTTCTTTCTTTCATTTGTCTGTTTGTAGCCCCGCTTCGCCTGATTTGCCTATCCTTGAAAGTTTGCCTTTTCACGATGACAAACCCCCACAGCTTGGAGTTTAAAAAACATGTGATAATAATTATCTATATATTAACAGTATTATAGCTTTACCAGGCCATATTTTTTTTGTTATTTTTTTTTGTTTTGTGTATTGTTTTTTGATTTTCTCTTTCTTTTTTTTTTCTATAAATTTTTTTGGGTTTTATATTTTTTTTAAACTTGTCTTTTTTTTTGTATTTTTTAAATTATCTTTATTAATTTTTTAATATTAAACTAGTTAAAAATTTAATTCTGTATTTTTTTTAAAACATTATGAATTACTATAATATTTTTCTACATATTTTTTTTTATGAATTTTTTTTCAAAATATCTCTATCAATTTTATTTTTTTCATATCAAGTTAATTGAGAATTTTACTTCGTAATTTTTTAAAAACATTATGGATTGTCAGAATATTTTTCTATATAATTTTTGTTTTGCTATAGTATTTTTCTATATGTTTTTTTTTTTAAATTATTTTTATTAATTTTTAATATTAAACTAATTGAAAATTTAACTTTAACTTCCCTTATATTTTTTTTTAATTTTTTTTAATCTTAAAAAAAATCTAAAGAAAAAACAATAGTGAAAAAACTTGTTATAATATATTGGGAGTTGAATGTTGACCTCAGCCCTCAGAATTATGCTAAATCAACCGCCAAACAGTTAAAATTAATAAATCATGCTCACATCAATGCGTATGCTCGTAATAAAATGAAAAAGAAAGGGGTATTTTTTGCATATTAGATGTTGGAGGGGTAACGTTGTAAAACAAAGCCGAAATTAAAGGTGGATTACAAATCAACAGATACGGGAAGCTGATTCACTTTCCGTCTGTTTACGAGGTGCATCTGTTTTTGTGGTGGTGGTATTGTTTTTTTTTTTTTTTGTTCTAAGTTAATTTTTTTTTATATTTTGAATTTTTATAGTATTTAGATATTAAAACTAAATTTAAAAAAAATTTAAAAATATTATCTTAATATATAAATTTAAAACGGACAGTTGCTGGACAGCAGCCAGCACCACACCAGACAAAAGCCCGATTCTACAAAGCCCAACAACACAAGCATAAACACAAATATATATTTCTTGGTCTCCAATCTATTTCTTGGTCTCCAATCTTAAATACTAGCTTTTTCACTCCCCAAGCACAAATATATATTTCTTGGTCTCCAATCTTAAATGCTAGCCTTTTCACTCCCCAAAAAAATCATGCTCTCTGTTCTTGCTCGCACTCTTTTAATTCAAAATCAAACTTAAAAAAAAAAACCCATCTATTTATTAAATTATTATTACTGTTATCAGTGGCTAACCATCCATGGCTATTACTCTCGGCAAGTTAACTATTCTCGTCGGTGCAGGTCCGTTAAATTTGTTTGATCTTATGTTTCTAATTTTCCTATAAACTTTGAACTTCTTTATTTTAGTCGCAAATTGATTTGATTGTATTTGTTTTTAATTTGGGATGTGTGGAGCAGTGAGTGAGTTTTAGGTTTTTGGAGGTGAACCCTTGATTCGATTGTTTTTTAGTGTGTGAACATGTTGTTCGTTAGCTCTAAATTTGAAACGAAGTATGTGCCTGTTTATGTGCGATTGTATTAGGGAGGGGTTTTGTCAGTGTTAGGGACCTTAGGCTCTTGATATAAAGTTGGGATTTTTTTTTTCTTTTTGGTGTGTTTGCTTTCTTTTGCTCTATAGTTAATTGCAACACTGAGTTGGTGAGATTCTGGTCTAGTTTGTCTGGTCAAGGGGTTTTGTTCTGTTGCATTGATGTCATCGGTCATACTTGATTTGCTGTGAAATTACCGTGCAGCTCTCAAAATAGCTAGAATTCTCTCTCTATGTGTGTGTGTGTTTTTACAGTTATTAAAAGTGATTCTGCTTCTTGATAATACTAATGAGTATTATTGTGTTTGATTACTTCTGCTTCTTGATAATACTAATGAGTATTCTTGTGTTTGAAGTGAATGTAAGTATTTGGCTTTATATGATACCAGAAAAAAATGAACTTGAATCCCTTATCTTGCCACTGGTAGTTGAATTAGATGATGGGATAATTCTAGAATGCTGGGCTAGTTAGCAATCGGGTATTTAATTAGACAAATGTAGTACCTTGAAGTGGAATAATAAGTGCCTTCTATCTTGTAGGCAAAAAAGAAAAAAAGTGAAAATATGTGCTCGTGAGGGGCAACAACTTCAGTGTCTAAAATCTAATAATCATGTTAGCTGGGCCATATCTTATTTAGTTGGAGAAATATGAGTCCAGAATGGGCGGAATGCTGGGGAACACTCACTTAGGGTACTTTAGTGGTCGGGGATTATTAATAGACTAGGCATCACTTTCATTCTTTCTAGATTGTTCCGTACCCCTAAACCCATCACCGAGGTCCTGGTCAAGCTTTCATAGGAAGCCTATTTACCCCCATCTCGCCATTATTCCAACCACCTTATTGACCCCCTTGCTGATAGTCAATAACTCCATCTCTGTTATGCATGTCTAATGCTTCTGTCTAGTGTATCTTAATCAGACTGGTACAGTAATGTCCATGTGTGATCCTAGCCTTGATAAGCAAATTTCTCTCCTTTGTACCTTCAGATGTTTCCTTTTGATCTAAATCAAAGCCATGCTCTGTAGAAATAATTTTCTTACTTAATTAGTTGTCTTCTGGATTTTAGGTATTCTTGGCTCGGTTCTTGCGAAAGAGGGGCGCATGCCTGATGTTTCTAGTTTTGTTTCAGGAGCTTTCAAGGTACTTATATGACTTATTGTGATCTCTTAGAAGTTCAAAAAGTTCAATGAATATTTGGGGGTTTATCTTCATTCATAGTAGACTTGCTTGCAGTATCTCTATTATTTATGTCTTAACGGGTGGATTATGATCCATTACATCAGCCCTTTTACCTATAACTTCGTATTATCTTTACTAGACATGCTTTTGTGATGATTTTTTTGTCTTTTATTGCTTGTCTTTACTGGCATTTTTCAGTGTCTACGGTGGAGTGCATTGAAAATCTCGTGTCTTAGGTTTGCATTGTTTCAATTCAGTCATTCACGAGATAATCTGTCTTTTGTTTAATTTTTGGGTTCTATTAATGTAGGACCTCATTGAATGCAATACAACTTGAATGTTATTGTGATGTTACAGCCTTGATTATTTGAACCCAGCTATTTGCATAAAATTTGGTTTACCACGTTGCTTGTAGCATCTGTTGTCACTGATTAACTGTTGTTTAATTGACTCTTTGGATAAAATATTTTGTCAAGTACTTTTTTTATACTTGTTGCCTATGTCTTTTAGAAACTATAATGCGATTCAAAATGTAGCATTAGATTCTCAGCAATTCTTAGTCTGCTTCATACTGATTGCTAGTGATTTATCTTTCTCCACAGATTGCTCTCAGGCAACTTAAACAAGATGATACTGCTTCATCAGTTAGCAAGTCTAGCAAGCCTCCAAATGACTCTTTGATGGCTCAGGTTTGCTTGTCAATTTTATGGTTCTTTATAAGTTCTCCCTATTCAAATTCAATTTGCAACATTCTTACATGCTTTAATCTTTTAATCCAATTCAATTGATAATGATTTTGCCTTTGCACTTTCTCGAAGATAATCCAGTAACCCAGTTGTAACTGATAGTGTTGTTGGTGATGACTGCTTGCATTTTGAAGTGACTAAATGAAATCTTCTTTAAAATCTAACTTTTATGACAGGGATTTTTTTTTTTTCATTTGGTAGCAAAAGTAAAAATCTCGAAGTGACAGGATAAGATGGTGAGAAATACTCATTTTGCTGTGCTTCCTACTCTGGAAATAATTTATTTTTTAGGCTTTCTTTCCTGACATTTGTTTGGACAACCAAATAAACTTCAGAACTTGTACTGTCTGAATGATTTATTGCGTAGGAACAAAATTTTGTTCATCTTTTTTTTTTTCCTTTTTTTTTGGTGAATGCCTGAATGTTAAACAGTCACTCATTGGATCTAATTTGATTGTTCAGGACTTAATTTGTTCAAATTTTCTTTTGTAATTATATGTGCTCATCATTTGAGGAAATGAATTATCATGTGCTTTAGGTTGAAGTGTCTGTTAGAGATTGAGAGTACTAGATTGCATGTTTTACAGGTAACCAGCCTTCGACAAGAGCTGCAAATGTTGGCATCAAGTAGACCAGTCACAATTGTAACTGCAAATGGGACAGGTTTGGATTCTGATCCTTCTCTTGCATCTGAAACAGGAGATGAGTTATGTTGTGTCCATCCTGTTCTAACCACACATCTGTGGACTGGACTGGTCATGGTGGAACTTTTGCCCATTTTATTGCTTGAAAAATTACTGAAAGCATCATGAGGCTATATACTCCTTATTGTGTTGTGCAACTTGTATTTCCAGGAATCACAGTCTGCTTCACATAGTTACCATATTTGCATTGTATGTATTTGTCACTCCAGTCAACAGTCTGCTTGAAAAAGTTTATGGCTGAATCTGCACTATATTGTCACACAGATACCCATCTACACTGAGAAATACGAAATACACTAAAATAAATGTCCAATGTAATATAATATTGGGTTTTTAAAGTCCTTTTCTCTTGCAAAAATCCATGACACAAAGAACAACAGAATAAATTTTTTAATGTTTCTTGTAATTTCTAATTTTCTCGGAGGGGAAGTGGTGCTGCTAGGTCCTTCTCTGTTGTAATATACCTGTAAAGTTTATGTGCCTATGGATGTCCTTGCTTTATTCAATCTTTTACACCCCTCCCCCCCAACCTTTTTTTTTCCTTTTTTGATGTGGTAATGTACATCTCTGAACTGTATCAGGTTTCTCATTTCTCAATGGTTATGCTGTGACAGTTTCACATTTAACCATCGATTGAAACTGTCCAACATTGTTGTTCATCTGTGTGTTGTGAACTTGAGTTTCCATTTACTTGTTTGTTATGTTTCGATTTCCAATTTAGGAAATTTACTTCACTGAAATGTATCTGGGTCCTCAACTGTATGCTCTGTTGTTTCATATTTAAACAACGATCAAATTTGTCTTTGCTTCTATACATCTTTGCACGCGAGTGCTATTTATCTCTTTACAACTTCATCTCTGTATAGTCTCTTGAGAAATCTTAGACCATGTTCTTATTCTTGACATCAAGTGCTAATCTTCCATATAAACAACTTGCTAATTACTCATCTTTGGTCAAGTTCCTATAATATATGCTGGCTTTGATTATGCACTAATTTTGGACTGTTCTCTGACACTTCTATAATGTGCAGGCGCTAATAAATATGGTGTAGTTGTTGTGGTGATAGTTGTTGGATATGGCTATGTTTGGTGGAAGGTAATGGTTTCCTTTTTCGATTGATCTTTTGGTGTAATGTGTGTATAGGCACCATTTTGTCAAACATTACAATATATCATAAGGATCTAATTCATGTTCCTTGTATTACATCATTTAATGGAGTATTATTAATACTGAAAAAATATTTCTTCCCTTGAGGTTTGAAGTGCTAAGTAACCAAAATTCAGCAATTGGTTAATACTTGAGTTTATTATCACTCTACCTCTTGTTGATATGTCCTGAGCTCCATCCTGTTCCTTGGTTTGACTGGTGCTCTATTCTTATAATTGTTGTATGTTTTCAGGGTTGGAAACTTCCTGATATGATGTTTGCAACCAGGCGTAGTTTATCTGATGCTTGCACTTCTATAGGCCAACAACTAGAGAATGTTTATGGGTCAATCAGGGTAAGATTTTGAACTTTTGTATTGGTTTTTCAATGAAATAAAACTAGAGTTGAAATGTTTAATTTTGCTTATGGATTTTGAAATTAGAGCTTTCTTATCCCAATACATGTTTTTTTGGTCTGTAGAGTACCAGGAGGCATTTATCTTCAAAGATTGATGGTGTGGACACAAATTTGAATGCCATTGCAGAACTGACAGCCAGTACTCAAGAAAGGGTGGGTCTAACCTGGATATTAGCTAATTTGTTAGTGCAGTAGTAATACTGATATAGAAAGTATGTTGGCACATGTAGGTTACTGAATTGCGAGAAGATTCAAGTAGGATCGGCAACGATGTTCGATATGTCCGTGATGCTGTTGAAACATTGGTGATCAATCTCGATACTAATAATTCCTTTTGTTCATCCATTTTTTAAAAATTCATTCTGGATGTGAAATCAGAAACTTATTTGATTTTTTTTTTAATTTTCTTAGGAACTAAAAATTAGCAGAATTGAAGGGAAACAGGTAATTATTATATCAACATCATATGCAGTGCTATCAGAAATGATTTGTTTATTCCAACTGTGGTAACTGTTATTGATTTTGATATTATATTATCATATGCAGTGCTATCAGAAATGATTCGTTTATTCTACCTGTGGTAACTGTTATCTAATTTGACATCTATTTAGGATTTGACAACCCTAGGAGTAAAGAGGCTGTGTGACTATGCCTCCAGTTTGGAAAACAACTTACTTGAAGAGAATGTCCAGGCACGTCGACATCTTTTTGATTCCTTTTGCCTTTTTCAATACTTTGTTATTTGACTTTACTGTTAACCATGCTCCACAAATTCTGCAGACTTCAGCTTCCAGTTCACGGCTAGCATTCTCATCAAAGGTAGCTGTAGTTATTGGAGACACCATACCTATATTTTTAAAAGCTAGATAATGTCTGTTTTGTTTCTCTTGCTTTAGGTTAGTGGGGAGATCTGTTTGAGATTAGAATTTGATTATTTTTACCGGACATATCTGGGCCAAATGATTCTTTCTGTTATGCTAATCATTGGCCATATGCTTAAAATAGCATTGCTAAAGTGCTATATGTTCCAAATATGGTTTCTAGTGCCTACCGTTTTCACTAGTTTTTGTCTTGTTATTAACCAGGCTGGGGCATTACCTGCTCCATCAAGTGAACCATCAACTCCTTCTGCCTTGAATGGATCTCAAGAGGTTTGTTTACTCTTGAAAACTTTGTTTCTTCTGCCTGTGGCCAAAATAAATTCTGTGAGCTTCAATGAGAGTTTTTTTATGATTTTTCATATGTTATGACTTACCCTGATTCCCAGTCCAAGAATAATCTAATATAGCCATCTTATAAGTTTTAAAAAATTGGTATATGACTTTTATTCCATGCTATGAGCTTGCTTGATGTTCCCCCTTTTCAGTTTGTGTTTTGTCTGAAACTCTTCCCAACACTTCGAAGAATATAATTACCTCAATTTCCTTTCCTTGATTTTTCCTTTCTCAGGTTCAAAGGCTCCCTCGCAATGCTGCATCAGCCTCCAGCCAGAAGGTTAAGATTGAATTTCATTTTGCACTTTACACCCTTATTTATATATTTTCTTGACATCTAAATTTTTTAATGTAACGTTTCCAGGGAAGTACTGAGATTTCAGGAGTGGCTGAGGTTGCTAGCAGCCTTGGGATTTCAAATGTTATCCATACACCAGAAGAAACAAGTAATGGAACAAGGTGGTTTAAACCGGCATTTCTTATGAGAACCCGCAGCGCAATAAACAGTGTAGCGCAACAAACAAGTTCAAGTAAACAGCAATCATGATGATATTTTCCAATGAAAATCATTTTACTCCTGTGCTGTAATTAGTTTACTCTGGGAGATGCTTCAAGTTTGGCTGTTACTGGTGGTAGGAGTCGCCTTATGAATACAAATACCAGAATGGTGCTGAGTTTTGTAGAGATGCTTATGTTTAAAGGTTAATATCATTCTTGATATGAACAATATAGGTTAGAAATATGAGTAGTGGATCTTAGAGGGGAAAGGGGGAAAACAAGGTACTTCTTAATACGTGTGAGAATTTCTGCTTAAAAGGATGATGCCAAATAATAATGGAAGAACTCTCCTCATCACGTCTTCGGTTTGATGGGAGATTTGTTTTTCGATGTTACAAATGTATCACTGGCGCGCATGGTTCTTGGCTTAAAACTGTTGGCGTTGCTTTCCTCAGGATAAGCAGCATCTCATCTCATGTTAAGGATCGAAGAGCAGCCTGGATGCTAATTCCAAAATGGTGCTGGCATCTTGAGAGACGGTTGACAGTAAAGCATTTAAGAAGGAAGCAGGTGTAGTGGAACTGGAGCCATTTTCTGAAGCTGATAGTTGCTCCAAGCAACACATGTCATAGTCATTGTTTTGACATGTTTTAGCGTGGACGGGTTGTTTCTTTAATATCCGCGGGTCGGTTTTTTGATAAATATATGGGTCGGGATTCCATGACAGAGTGAGCCCTGATTTAACTAAACTCATGTCTCCCCATCGATGTTACGGGTGTTTTTTTTAAAAAATTAATTGATTGGTTTTTTAATAATTATATTCAATTCAATTTAATTTTATAAATCATAAATTCAATTTATTCATTTTTTTTTTGGATCTAAGCTAGTTGTATATATTAGGTTGAAGTAAATCGGGTCGGTTTTTTGATAAATATATGGGTCAGAGTGAGCCCTGATTTAACTAAACTCGTGTCACACCATCGATGTTACGGGTTTTTTTTTTTAAATATAAATTGGTGGGTTTTTTAATAATTATATTCAATTTTATTTTATTTTATAAATCATATATTCAATTTATTCAAATTTTTTTTTTGGATCTAAGCGAGTTGTATACACTAGGTTGAACTAAATTGTGTGTGGATATTAATATTTAAGAGTTAAGTTTATATTACTTATTTTTATGGGTCTGCATTTAGAAGAAGACTTTCAACCTCAAATCTAGATCTCATGTCACCATAATTAAATTCTAGTTATCTCTTAGGTCTTTTTATTTTTTATTATGTTAAAAAGTAAACATAGTAATACAAAATTTAAAGTCAAAAAAAACAGTCATTGGCCTACATTGTAAGAAAAAATAAAATTTCTAATCTAAATAGGAAAAATAAAAAAAACATAAAAAATAATATTTCTAAATTAAATAAAAATAAAAATAAATACTCAATCTACAAGCAACTAAATATTTGATTGATATTAAAGATAAGTAAACTTTTATTAATAAATTAAATATATTTATATAAACAAAATCTATACCACATTGATTGACTACATAGCATAAAAATTAATATATTTTTTTATGTTGCTATTAATCAGGTAGTCAATTCTTGTTTCAATTAAATATAATGCAGGTTACTTTCAATACCCAACTCCGTGGTCTTCTATCAAAAACATTTGTTCTAACAAACAGACGATTATTCCTCTATGTTGAGGTTGCAAAAGCTTCCTTCTATTTTTTGTTTGGATATCTGCAATAATCTCAGTTACGTAAACAATAGAGCTAAGATTTTGACATAATTATGAAAGAAAGGTTCAATATCCAAACCATATTATGTCCAAGGCCAGGTTGATGCTGCAACATGTCCTTCCATAGCTGCACAGTACATGTTATGCACTTGCTTTTAGAGATAGGGTTTGCTTTCGTTAACATCAAATTCTTACAATGAATGTTTTCAGTTTGCAGAAAATGAACATCTACCATCAGAGAACAAGAGAAGGATCGCCCAACTCCCATGTGTGTTGAATCATGAACATTTCAAGTTCTATGCACAAGCTCTCTGGGTCCTGACTATTCTCAGGTGCTGTATTGCTTACTTACCTTGTATAAGCTCATTACTGTTACCCTTAGATCACTTGGTCAAGTTAATCATGAAGGATTTGGATGGCAACCTTCGCAGTCAATTAAGCAATGTAGTTGTAGGAGTGTGGTATTCTCTAGACCCTTTGGCTTCTTTTATTTATCGAAAAAAAAAAAAAACTTGGGGGTTTAGGGTTTTTCCTCGTACTAGTGCCTGCAAATTGTAACTGTTAATAGGCAAGGAGATAAATTGCCACAGCAATATTTATTTCTTTAATTCAGTCTTGGGTCTTACCCTGTTCAGTGAAAGTCGTACACTTAACATGATTCTATGCTATGATGCTGCATGACTGGAAACAACAAGGAACGAAAAGCAAGTTAAATATTAATGGAATGGAATATTCCTCGCAAAAGCACTGCTATTATGGTATGAAATGTAAAGCAACTTTTGGGCCACTTGCTTGAAATAGGTGGTGGCTGTCATGAAAACATATGAATTATGAACTTTTTTAGTGTGTGTATATTATTCAAGTCTCTTCACGTCGAGGGACCCTCACCTTAATAAAATAAAAGTCCGATGAAAGTGGCTGAAACCTTTTAATATTTTATAAGCTAATGTTTTTCTTCCGAAAACCAAAATAGTAGTGTACGAACATCTAGGTATAGGTCTGCTTTTTTAGATATTATTTGTCTAAATTCTATGTACTTTAAAATTTACAATTATTGTATTATTAATTTTAAAATATATAAAATTAATTAAAATACATATAAATTCTTATTGAATATCTATATTAATAAATAAATAAAATATAAAGGATAAAACATAGTTTTAGACTCTAGTAAATTCATTTCATGGAGTGAGTTTTGGGCATGTCTACCCCATACGTGTACCTTTATCCATTAATTTATATATGTACACGTAGTAGGCATTTTGGGGGGAATGGGTTATGCAGAAGGACCATATGTGATAAAAGGACTGAAAATGTGAGGGTTGTTGAGCCCAAAGTTAAATTAGAGGGATTAAAATGACTATATGTCAAAAGTTTCGGGACTTGTATAAATATAATTAAGCCCATACGTGTACCTTTATCCTCTAATATTCTCACTGTAAACTTTATAGAAAACCTAGTACGTTGGCATATCGTAGTGAGCTGAATAATATAGGGCTTAATTTGCTATGATGGAGCAATGCATGCCATGTTTCCATTTCTGTCGATCACGTTACTAGCTAGCATCACTGATCAGGTGGAACTCCAGCATTCCATAACATATGCGATAAGCTATGATCATAAGAGTCTGTAGTCGAAAGTTAGAAACCACCTAGGGCTCGAAGCAATGCCACAAGGCCGAGCTTTTTATCCGTATTCTAAATGGAAAGAGTCGAGTCACTGATCATAGAACTTTAGGCATTCCAATATTCCTTAACATATGCAATAAGTTATGATATATTAGAGTCTAAACTCAAAAGTTAGAAACCACCAGGAAGCGAAGCCAAAGGGCCTAGCTTTTTATCCGTCTTTTAATGAAAGAGTCACTGATCATGGAACTTCAGGCACAGCCGCGTCCCCTACAATGAAACCAAACCTATGGCGGGATGACGGATGCTTTTTCTAAGAGGTCAGCTTTGATTAAGATAGGAATTTCCTTTCATTAGTAAAATAATGACTTTGCTTATATGAATTTTCAATATAGAGAAAATACTACTATGATTTTTTTATTGAGGGAATGAAAAAGGTATAATATATTAATATTAATATTAACATATGCTAGCTAGATTAGCATAATATATATTAATATATTATGTTTTGGTCCTTCAATTTTTTTATGGATTTTTTTTAATTTAAAATTTAGGTTTTTTATTTTTTTATTTTTATCCTTTTACTATGTATTAATTTTATAATTTATTTTAATTTACTTTATATAAAGTTATCTTGGTTTTATAACTCGATCACGAGCTATGTAAGTTAACCATGTTGATTCAATTATTTTTTTTATTTTTTAATTAATTTTTTTCTCAAATTCATCTTGCAATATTAGGATGATTGGAATTAAGTTTTATAATTTTTTTTAATGTTTTTTTTATCTATGGAGCTATTACGATTTCATGACCCTGGTTATCGGTTTTCTTGGTTAGCTAGGTTGACTCGTGTTTTTTTATTGAATATTTTTTTTTTAATTTTATCTTTCAATATTAAGTATTTAAAAATAAAATCTATAACTTTTTTTTATCTCCTTTATATGAAGATAATAAGACACTAACTATGTTAGCTTTAGCTAAAGATTGTTTAAAATATTTGATTATATTATTAGTTAACTTTATATGAAGATAATAAGACTCTAACTATGCTAGCTTTAGCTAAAGATTGTTTAAAATATTTGATTATATTATTAGTCTTGCACTTAACCATGTAAATTCATCAATATCCAATTGTTTTCTTTCTTAGTAAAGGGTTCAAGAACTAATATATTCTACTTTTTCACAGGGATACACTATTAAGAATAGATATATAATAACTCATATGATATTTAAATTTACTAGAAATTTTAAGTTCATATATGTGTTTAGAAATATCTTTAAAGTAACGATGTGGTACTTTTATTACTAACTCAAATAACAAGTAAGTAATATCCTTAATAATTAATTGGTTTCATATATTAGTTGTAAGAGATTCCAACTCAAATGAAATATTTTTTTTATAGTAATATCTTTATCTCAACTCAAATGAAATATTTTTTTTATAGTAACATCTTTATCTCCCAGTGTTCATCATCATTTTGGTTTGAAATTACACCATTTAAATCCATTTCACCTTCTTGATTATCTAATCTAGCTTATAAGTCTTCACTTTTAATATCCAAATTCATGTATTGAAAATCACGAGTTTGAATTTCCTTTTAATACTCCCATTGAATTTTAGGCTCAGAGAAAAAACACATTATTTCTTTATATATATATATATATATATATAATATCCATTGTAATAAATATTTATTAAGTTGGAGAATGATAATATTGGTATCTTTTTTTTTATTATTGACATACTTAAAAAAAACATATAACATTTAAAGAGTTAATTTATTATATCAATGTTAATAAAGATGTATAAATGCAACATAACAAAAAATATTGGATAGTAAGGTTAGGACTATTGAGGTATAAGTTATATTAGTGAGAGCCTAAAATGTTGTTTAAAAGTTAATAAAATTAAAGGATACCTTATTGATTAAATATGCTATGGAGTTAAGTATTTTTCTTTAATAAGATAATGGTATACAAGATTTGATTAATGAAGCATAAACAACCTTAAACAAACATTTTTA